AGGCTTATGGCTCCTCTCCTCTGACTCACGTCCACCAGTCACTTCCTAAAATTCCCACCCAGGAAGCCAGACTCCCCCAGAATATGGAGAACCTGGGGGAAGCCCCTATTACTACACAGACTTGTGGGGTGTGGCAGGAGGGCTGTAAAAGCCCTTTCAAAATGTTCCTTCTAAATACATACATAAATGGTTACATAAAGATGAAGTCCCAGAATATGCCACAGGACGTATCTTTGCAAAGACAGAGCTTTTACCACTATGATCCTTCTAGAACTCTCTGTGGTATAGTAGCTCCATGCATTTCAGAGCTGTGAAGAGCATCTAGGTTACCAAGGTTAAAATGGCTTTTGTTCGGGCTCTGGTCACATCTGGCCAACATGTGAGGCTCGTGTGCTGGGCTGAAGAAGAAAAGCCAGACCTTCCTGTGTATTCCACATCACGCGTTCATCACGGAAGTATGCGGGAGGCACGTGGCAGGCTTAGGGCACAGACTATGTCTTACAGTTCTGCTACTCAAAGCGTCGCTGGCGGCCGGCTTCATGGGCACCACCTAGCATCACCTGTCTATATACCAGAGATGCAGGCTCTGAGGCTCCGCCCCTGGTATGACCAGCCTTTTAACCAGAGCCTCAGGGAATTTTGTACAGCTAAAATTCTTTCCCCAACTCATATGGAGAAAGAATGGGGAGAAATAATAAAGCAACTGTCTATTCTTTCCACTATGAGATGTGAGCCTGCCTCTTTGTACAATAAGTTCCTATTCAGCCCTCAGAAACCTTTCCAAACACTGCTTCCTCTTGGACCCTCCGGAGTTCTCCCCCCAGGGCAACCGAATCAGCTACCGCCTGTATGGACGTTCACGTTACATGGCAAATGAATACGTCTAGTGTGGAATCGTCCCACCGTGTTCTCACTATTTTTTATACTTCTTGGCTGGAGACTCTGTCCCGTCTGTGGCCGTGTCCCTGGTTGCAAGCAGAGACTGGAAAATAGGAAGAGGTCGATAAGGGAATGACCTGAATTGAAGCATGAAATTAGCAGACAGGAAGTCTTGATAAACCGGCCGCCTCCTCTAGCACATCGGAGAGGCAAAAAGACAATCTCCCTGTTAGATGACAGGACATGGCCTGCTCGCAGGGTGACTGGACTCAGATGCAATTCCCTCTGGGAAAATTAAGCTCACACTCGGATAGTGAGGTGAGTGGGGAGAGAGAGAACACGCCAGAGGGCTTGTTCAGGTGTGAGGTGTGGCCAAGAGGACAGAAGCCCGTCCCAGAAGCGCCACCTCCTGGCTATGCGTGGCTTGAGCGGAAAGTCGCTGCTCCCAGTGACTAGGACCCAGGAGCAAGCAGCCCAGGAAGAGGACACCGCAGACACCTGCTCTCTTCCTCGCTCCCTCACCAAGGGTTTGGCTGCGATACTTCCAAGACCAGGGCTAGGTCCTCCCCGCTCCCACCAGCCTTCCCACTATGGGCAAGCAAGACACTCACTCCTTCACCTTTCCCCTGCTTCTCAGCTTCCCAGGCCGGCCAGCTGCCACCCACTGCCACAGCCCACCACGCTACCCCTGCTCTCAAAACTAACCCCACCTCTCACCGGCTCCCTAAGGCCCCGGCACTTGTTAAAATGTGCTTCTTATTTTTCAGAAGTAGCCATGGTTCAGCTGTTACAGTGCTTGCCTTAGAAGCTGAGGACCTGAGTTAGATCGCCAGCACCCATGTTGAAAAGCCAGCACCGTGGTACATGCATGCACCCCACTGCTGAGGAGATGGAGGTGAAGTCGGCGGATCTCACTGGCCAGGCAGCCTTGTTGAATCGGTGGGTTTCAGGGCAATAAGAGACAATGTCTCAAAAAACAAAGAGAAGGCACCAGAGCCACTGCATAAGGTTGACTTCTGGCTTCCATACACACTTGTATACAGCGTATGAGAACCTACACACACACGTGCATAACTACTTATACACATGCACCCACTCTCACGTGAACATAGCATGTACACACACATACACATGCATACACACATGACACACAAGTGAACCAACGCCCACACAAGCAAACGCACAATGCATGCACATACACATGAACATACAAACACAGATATATGCCCAAATCAACACCTACGTCAGCAAACACACAAGTCATACACAGACTTGCACCACACCAACATGAACACACACACATACACAAAGACAAACAAAATCACACAACACCATATGAACACACACACATACAAACACCTGAATACAAGTGTATGGAGGTTCACCCACAAGCCCACACCCACCCACACAAACACACAAAAAAACACACACATACCAACATGAATGCACACACAAACACACCTTCATTTATGCACCCATACCCACATGAACACATGTGTATACACACAAACATGTACCAACACACACACACACAGATACTCAAGTGTATACATTTGTACACATAATCACATACACACAAGGTGATCTGTCCCAAACTACCAAGAGTGGTGAGGTGAAAAGTCGCGCTTCTAGCCAAGAAGAAAAAGGGGAACACAGATAATGAGGGCTGGGGCTAAGGCCGCAGAGGCCGTGCAAGGCTTTAGGAGTCCAAGCAATGGGGTGGGGGAGGGGACCTGAAGTGCTGAGAGCACCATGTCATGGTTGTGGTGGAACCAGTAAGGCAGTGTCTCCTCTGTCTCTATGGGTCTTCCATGGCGCACACAAGCCAGTATTTTGTCAAGGGCCCAGGAAATCCTTATGCTGAGGTTGTCCTCAGTGGGTGCAGTGGGGTGCAGGGGAGCAACTCAGTCTGTTCATCTCCAGTGGGAGATGACATGGGCTCAGATCCTGGCCCTACAGATCTTGAGGAGTTGCCTCTCTGAGCATCAGTCTCTTCAGGCTGGATACACATACATGCTGAGTTTGGTGAGAACTAGAGAGTTCAGGCACACACAGGGGACACACAGGTGGGCATTTGTCTAACGACTCACTTAACCCAAACTAATACCCAGAAAGGGAGTCTTGCTCCATCATGGCTGTCATTCCTGTTGCTTAGACAGGAATGGTCCTGACGCTGTGAGAGGCCCCAGTCCTAGGGATGGCAACAGGTCTCTGATAGGGACTTGCTCCTTCCCATGCTTAAGGTCTTCTGCCAGCAGGGCCTAATGAAGTCTAGGGGACGATCCCCTAACAGCCCTGGCACTAGGAGGAGCCTTTGGTACTCTTGGCTTCTAATTTGCCAGAACAGGGGGTGGGGTTAAAGCAAGCAGGCTTCAGATCCAGCCCCAACCCAGGCTCTGCAGAGAGTATGCTGTGGCCCAGGCTGTAGGCTTAGCTCCCCAAATCTAAGGCCTCCCAAGCTGCAGGCTAAGCATCCAAATCCAGGGACTCCACGCTGCCTTTACTTCCTCACTGCTCCCAGCCCACTCAGACATCTGTCAAACAGGAAAGGCTGTGCCGCGAGTCTTTTTTATATCATTAATCAAGGACTAAAGTCACTTGCAGCAGAACCCAGGGAAACAACACAACACAAGCCCAAAGCACAGAAGTGTGCACAACCACCCTACTTCAGGAGCCGAGACAGCTGAGACCTGTCCATCAGATCACAGAATCAGGCTGGAAGGTGTTCCAGGGCCAAGAAGGGAAAAGCTGCCTGGTGTCCCTGTGCCCTCCCTCAGCTCCCTGGCTGTGGTCCTTCCTAAGAACCCTGGTTCAGGAAACTCTTGCCCGAGCTCCTGCTCTGCCCCCCAGGTTTCTGTATGACCCAGTAGACATGCCTTCCCTTTTCTGAGCCTTTGGAATATGTGAACAGAGGCCACACAATGGACAGAGTCCACACAGCATCTTCACCTGGTCTACCACAGGCCCTCAGTAAATGCTGAGTGACAAGTGTCCTGGCCACTACCGAGCAAAGCAGAGGGCCCTGTGAAAGCAGGTCACCTGCCCTGAGAGCCTAGCTTCCCAAGCAGAGGGATTTGGTGTTGGAAGCAGTGGTGTTTATATCCATAATATCATTTTGCACTATCCAGGGTTAGCACAGCTAAGTCCTTTCTGCCAGGTCTGTGAAGACCGGACCCACACAGATGTGGGCTGTGCTAATCTTCAAAAAAGATGTAAGGCAGGGCCACACATGATGACAGCTTCTGCTCTTTCCAAATAAGTCACAGGGACTGGTGAGATGGGGGGGAGGGGCTGTCTGGGTGATGCACCTGGTGCCCAGCACAAACCACAGTCCCAGAGCCCACCAGCACAAACCACAGTCCCAGAGCCCAGACTGCTGTTTCCCAGCTCCTCCTCCAGGTGGCTAACAAATTCAGAGCACCGTTCTATAACCTCAGTGGTCTCCGGGGTGGAAGGCTCTTCCCTCCTGTGTGGCAACCACACTGCTCCCCCCCCTGTTAAGGCTAAGCAGTGTCCTCTTGACCCCCTTCCTCTCTCCCAAAATCAAGTCAGTCCTGGGCACCCCAACTCTGTTCCTGCCCAAGCCTCTGAGGTATTTGCCTCTCCGTGGCCTCTGCCTGGTAATAGGCTCTGGAGCTTGTCTTGGGAGACTCATTCAGTTTTCATTGGACAGCTGTTCAGCTTTCACAGGACCAACCGTCCCTTCCTGGGGTTGACCATATCCAAACTTAAAGTAGTTCCATTTAAAGTGAACTCAAAGTAGGAACCTGAGCCTGTGCTTGGGATTGGAAACCCACCTCCATTCTGTCTCTCTGTGGGAAAGATAATCCCCTGCCTCAGTTTCCACCTCCATAATAAGAATTTTCACCCTGAAAGTTGTCCAAGGAATGTGCTGGGAATTTTGCCTGCATTCTGGCAAGAGTTCGTACTTTCATGGGTATTTCCACGCTGCAGAACCTTTAAGTCTTGGAGACTCAGAGAGGTTATCTCCTCAAAGTTTATGGACCAGGGGATGGTGATGTCAAACCAGGTCATAGCCCAGGAGGACCCCAGAACTTTGAAAATACAGAGAGCAAAACTAGGGCCTACCCCTGCCTCCCTCCTCTCTCCACCCGCACTACCTTCCTTGGGCGCATTGACGTCCCAGACGCTCCACATCTGCACGAAGAAGAAAGGCGTCCAGCACACGATGAAGGCCAGTACAATGATGAAGGTCATTTTCACTGTGCGGATCTTGGCCTTGGAGATGAGCTTGACGCTACTGACTCGAGCCAGCGCCGCGCGCCCAGCTCCACCGGCAGCAGATCCCTCAGTCCCCTCGGCCGCCGCCGCCGCCGCTGCCGTCTTGAGTCGCAGGTTCTGCCAGATCTTGAAGCTGATGAGGCCATAGCAGGCGGCCAGCACTATGACAGGCACAATGTAGACGGCAAGCGTGATCCACGTGACGTAGGCCTTGGGTCCCCAAGGCTGGATGAAGACAGCCCAGCAGTCAAAAACACCGTCCGCCACTTCGCGCAGCGAGAAAATGTGCACCTGCGGCGCGCTGGCCACCAGGCAGCCCAGCCATGTCGCTAGCACCGCCAGGCGGTCGGTTCGGCGTCGCAGAGAGCGCAGCGGCTGGCAGATGGCCAGGCAGCGGTCCAGCGACATCAGAAGCAGCAGGTAGGTGGAAGCGAACATGCCCACCACCTGCAAGTACTTGACCAGACGACACAGCAGGTCGGGCCCGTAGAAGCGGAAGGTGATGTCCCACAGCAGCTGCGGGAGCACCTGGAACACAGCCACCACCAGGTCAGCGATGCTCAGGTGCTTCATGAAAAAGAAGAGGCGCGAGTGCTTGTGGCGTGTGGTGCGCAGCGCCAGCAGCACGCACGCGTTGCCGCTCAGCGCCAGGAACAGAATGAGGCACAGCACCGCCACCTCCACGCGTGCCAGGGCCTCGTTGCGCTGCGGTGGCCCGGCTGTGAGGTTCCCCTCCACCCCCGGCGACACTCCACTCCCGAGGTCCAACTCGAAGCTCCAGTTGGCTGCGGGGGTGCCCTCCATGACCGTGACCGCGACCGCGAGGGAGCGCCCGGCCTTGCTGCTCTTTAAAGCGTGGCTCGTGGGGCGGGGCCCGATGAGCCGTCCAGGTGTCTGCCGGACCACCCGGGCACTGATCTGCCTCCTTCCGCCCTGAAACAAACCGAGAGGGCAATGAGAAGATCTTTGCGCTTCTCTTAGGACGCGTGTGGGGCTTGCCTGGCCCCTTCCTGGCAATCTGAAGTTACCTGGGTCTCAGGACACAAGCCCAGCCACTGGGCTGCTCAGCCACCACCGCGGAAATCCCGGTTTGCCTGATCTCCTTTGAGTCTCTGCAAGATGCAGACCTCCTTTGAGCCTCTGCAGATGCGCTTGAGCGTGGGTTCCGTGAAAGGGTCAGGCACTCTCAGGCGCTCTACCTGCGGAGAGAGGAGGCTCGTGATTAACCGCTTTCCCGAGAGTAGGGACCCCTCTCCTAGCCCCAATCCCCCCGGGGAGCCCCCAAACCTACACCTCTCCCCTCAGGACAGTAACACAGCCACCTCCTAATGGGCACCCTTGGCCACCCCCATTTTGGTAAGTTTTACTTCAGGTACATCTTCCTGGGGTTCCCCAAAAGCTCAACTCAAGCACATCCTTCTTCACCTTCTTCACATCCAAGACACTTAGCCCCGGCTCCCGGAGGGAGGGACTCCTGCCTGCAAGCCTAGCACCCCAGGCTGATATGACAGGAACTCCTGGGGTAGCCGCCTCTCACAGGAAACCCCTAACCCAGCAGCCTCAAAGCTCTGCTGCGTCGTCGTCCGAACTGTCTCTTTTCAGTCCCTCGGAGTACCCTGAGCGCCTTCGGGAACCAGAAGTGTGAGAGGCGCCAGAGCCTTCCCTCAGAAACTGATGGTCGCACTGGTACTAGCCATCCTGTCCCCAAGGTGCGGTGCGCAGGACCCAGCCACCTGGAAAGAGCCTGCAGGTTAGCCCAAAGTTGTCTCGCCACTGGGGAAGTTGCAGTGCAGCGGATGGCCTCAGAGATGCGCGGGCTCTACGCCCAGGGTGGGAGAGCTGCCGGCGCCATGCTCGGTGCCACCACGAGTAGATCCCAGCGTCTTTGCAGTCCTCTAGTCTGTGGCTTTGCTGGTGGCTGGATGCGGACCGAAGGCAAGGGAAGAGCGGTGGCCAGGCTGTGCGCGGACAGCGTCAGCACGCGGCGCTGTCTGAAGGTGGCCGGCTTTCCCACAGTCCAGAACTGCAGCATCACATATATCCGCTAGGGGGCAGATCAAGCCGGCCGCGGCGATCCCAGAGAGCCAGGTCAGCTCACCCACTGTTGGGCCATCAGATTTATTTCATAGTGGCTCACGAATAACCTACCTAGCTTATTCCTGTCTAGGTTTAGCTCTTGATGCTCTCAGAGATGTACGAACCTTGGAGAGTGACGGTTTTTCCCAGAGTAAATTTTAATGAAGTCACATTTCTGTTCTATCTCTCTCTCTCTCTCTCTCTCTCTCTCTCTCTCTCTCTCTCTCTCTCTCTCTTTCTCTCACATTTCTTCCTTTTTCTTCACATTCTTTTAGGAGAGCTCGCGTAAGCTCTTGCTCTAGAATGGCTTTGTTCATATTCCTATTAAGGAGGAATTGGAAATGTCTGCTCTCCCCACCCCACTCCCGTCACCAACCTTGAGAGAAATGTTCATTTTTTAGGTAGTTAGTGATGGAAATCTTACACACCCGCCCCATCGCCCCAAGTCTATCACCATTTAAGATTATTCTGCTTCTCAGTGGGCCAAAGGCTACCTCTGCCTCCTCACCAGGCTTCAAAATTAAAAATCCTAGCTGGAGCCAGAGGAAGATGAAATGGGAAGGGCTGTTCCTCCACTCCCCTGTCCTTTTCTGTTTTGAAATCATTTTTCAACTGATTGACGGTGACAAAGGACCGAGGCAGGAACAGAAAGGGCCAGGATTAAAAAATGAACGGGGCTCTTTAACATGAATTAAATGCGTATTTCCTCCTGACATTTCATTTCTCCCTCTTCTAATTATGTGGAGAGAATTAAATGAGCCAAGGGCAGTGTTTCCTGAATCCACAATTACAGCACTGTGCCAAGATTCCCTAGGGGCAGAGTCTTCCAGGGCCTGCTCCCAGGTTCTACATGACAGCGTGCCAAGGTGGCGTGGGGATTCCCTGAGCTTTAGCAATGGGAGGAGGCAAAGACTGTTCTCTTCTTGCTTTGGGACTGGATTTGGGACAGTATCAGCCCTAGCATCTGCCACACACAAATGACAGACTAAGGTTACAGAACACTCCAGTGAGAAGTGGCCTGACCCGAGACCCCAGTTTTCCCATATGTAAAATGAGGGGCCAACGCCATCACTTGAGTTTTCTATCTGTGTATATGTGGGTGGGTGTGGCTGTGCAAGTTCATGCTCACACACGGGATGGGGGGGGGGCTCAGACCACAACCTCGGGTGTTAATGTTCATCTTGTTTGATGTTTGCTGCTACATATGCCAGCCCAGCTGCCCTGGAAGCTTCCAGAAATTAAGCTGTCTCTGCCTCCAGAGACACAGAATTGGGATGTCAGGAACATTTTAACATGCCTGGCTCTTACATGGGTTCTGGGGATTTGAACTCAGATCCTCACACTTGAGCAGTGGGTGTTTTACTCACTAAGCCATCTCCTCAGCCCCTATTCTTTCTAAACACAATGGGCGGGGTTAGTGCTATCCCAGCAGGTCAAATAAGCCTGCTCTACCCCATGGCTGGATGAGGAAGGATTTGTTGGACAACCCCCTGACTGGAAGACCTGGGAAGGGAAAGTGTTGGGCTTGCAGAGGTCAGCCTGCTCTCTCCCTGGAGGAGAGTGACTTTCAGGGGAAGCCAGCCAGTCACTTCCCCAGCACTGGCTCTTCTTCCCCATGGGCCCCATCCTGTGTGGTTCTGTGTTGCAGATGGTTCCATCACATTGTGGAAGTACTAAGAATGACCAAAGCCAAGTTCTCTAACTTGGCCTTCATCTGAACAAAAGCATCAGTGAGAGACTCACATCCTCCTTGTTTATTGTGCAGAAACAAGGCAGAGAGGAGAGGCTCTGCTTGCCTGAAGGTCCCTGAAGCACAGGCATGCATCTGCATCCTTGAACCCTAGCCAGACAGAAAGGCACTTATCTATTTTCAGTGTGGTGAGGATATAAGTTCTAGCAGAAAGGGACAAAGTTCTTGGAGCCCTAAAGAGCTCTCAGGAAGCAGTTGAACAAAAGAAACCATTCTCCTAGGACCAAAGAAGACAGGCACCCTTCCCTGAAATGCCACAAGGGTGGCGGTGCACAATGGTAATCCCATACAGATGGACTAAAGCCTGGTCCACCTCTAACACCGAATACACACGATGCCGAAGGGTCTTAAAGGCCTCTTGAAGGATGGGTTTATTTAGTAACCGTGTTTCCCTAGCCTGGGAGGAAAGGCTTTCTGTGATGATGCTCAATTTGTAAATTTGGCCTCGAGTGCCACTGAAAGTGACAGAATGTGTGCTTCTTTCTCCGTTCCGCCTTACTCCCTTTGATTCACCAAGGATAAAGTCTGACAGAGTGAGAGCCAGGAGCTCCAGGGCCAAAGCTGGTCAGTGCGCAGTGACTGTATGAGAAAAGCCCAAAGTAATGGTGCAAGAGGAACGGGGGCTGGGAAACAGCCACGGAGAGGATGAACGGCAGAGAGTACCCTTGAGAGTCTGGTGGCCCCAGACAGATGCCACAGGCGTATGTGGAAACTAGAAAGTACATCAACCAGAGTCCGCCAGAGAAATAGAATCAGGGCTGGAGGCTGGATAGGTGGCTCAGGGGCTAAGAACACTTGTTACTCCTACAGGTTCATCCATCCTGGGTCAGTTACAGTATATAACTACAGGTCCAGGAGATCCAACACCCTCTTTTGGCCTAGAAGGGCACCTGCATGCATATGCCCATGCAAGTGCATGTGTACACACACACACACACACACACACACACACATTTCTTTAAAAGATGAAGTAGAATCAGCTGAGCTTTGTGGCCCACATCTTTAATTCCAGCACTTGGGAAGCATAAGCAGGTAGACCTTTGTGAGTCCAAGGTCAGGCTAGTCAACATAATGAGTTCCAAGACAGTCAGAGCAATATAGTGAAACCCTGTCCAAAAAAAAAAAAAAAGACAAAATCAGTAAGTCCCTTATGTGCAAAAAAATAATGTATTTAGCTAAAGAATGGCTTGTGTGTTATTGAGGCTGGCCATCTGCAGCCCTGGTACAGAGATGATGCTGCTGCATCTCAAGTCAGAAGGTATTTGCTACAACATTCCTTCTTGCCTGGGGGAAGCCAGGAGATGGTATAGGACCTTCCAGTGGTTAGACCAGGCCCATTCATTCTCACTATGGGGTAATCAGGCAATCCACTCCACTCAAAAAAATTCAGTTATCCCCGCCCCCCCCCCAAAAAAAAAGAACACCACCACAAAACCTTTCAAAATAATGTCTGACCACAAAGCATAGTCCTGCCCAGCTGACCTCCAAAGTAAAACATCACCCACAGTGGCTGTTGTGCACACCTCCCCCACCTCAGTGGCCAAGCAGAGTGGCGTTGCACATACTGGTGCCTCAAAAGGGCCAGGACACAGCAGAATGAATGGGTTCTCTGTGTGTGCTTATTAAATATAGAGAGATAGAATGAGGGGGGAAATGAGAGAGAAATAAACATTTCCCATGGTTGCTTCCCTCTCTTGAGAGCAGGATCACCACCTGGAGAAAACGTCCTAAAGAATGCCCCGCGCCCCCCCCCCCCCACACACACAGTAGCTGCCTGGGAAGGAGTTTAGTAGCTTGGTAGTTTTCAAGTTCTGGAACATTTAGCCTCTCTGCAGTCAGTGAGGAAATGAGTGGCCGCTGCCTCCAGTCCCTTCCCTCCCGGAAATCATCTCTGCTTGGGCTCCCGCCTCCAGGAGGTGTCAGTAACTCGCTCAGGCCTGATGGTGGTGAACACACTGCCATAATCTTCCTGCTGCTGACAGCCTTGCCCTTGGCCTTCTTCATTTGCTGCTGCCAGCAAGAGGCCAGGGACAGCAGGACGTGTGGACTGGCCTGGCCTGGGAAGTTCAGGGAGTGGGCGTGTTTGGATGCCAGCTTGCAGCTGTAACAAATTATTCTCCCAGCCGGCGTCATTTTGAATCCCGTGTTTTTCATTCCCGTGTTCCTTGGAGGGTGAAAAAAGAAAGAAAAACATGCTTTTTGCATTGGAGAGAACTCTGAGCCCGCCGTGATCAGCAACGCTGTGTGCCTTCTCCTTGAATGATCAACTCAATGAACCTCTCTAGGACTCAGTTTCCCCAAATGTTGACACTCCCCCCCCCCCGGGGCTGTGCAAGCAAATAAGAGCTAGTGTATATGAAGAGTGATTTACAAACAGCTGAAGTCCCATGTGACTTGTCTTGTTCCCATGCTGACCACCCCCACTCCGGGAGCACCCTGTGGAAACAGTCGTGCAATCGGCCTCCATCCTCACCACCGATGGAGCGCAGGTGTCTTTTCAGTTCAGTGAGACAAAGCACATGGGGGTGGAGGTATAGTGTGCCAGTAATTCCTTCTAAACTAATCGATGCGCTGGGTACACCAAGCCCTCACCGCTTCGGAGGGGCCCTTCCTGACCACCTGGATCCTTAGAGAAGATGCCATTTCTGAGGCTCAGCAGGTGGCCACAACATGAATGCTCCCATTCAGGCGATGAGTGCCTCCATTTGGCCCCCGCTCGCTGTCCTTTGTATACACACCTATTACTTTTCCTGTCATCTGTGCCCATCAATGAAAATGTGACCAGAAAAATGATTGATGGCTTCCCGAGAACATCCTTCAATAAATCACCCGCCGGGGCCAGGTCCTTGCTTCCTGGAAACTTGGTTCCAGGAACGGAGCAGAAGGAGGGCTTCTTGTAAGAAAGTACGTCATTCATAGGCATGTGCCGTTTTCCCCTAGGGGCACCGATGGCTGAGCCAAGACAGGAGACTTCGCGTTTTAAAGCCAAATTGCTCACCAGCAACGGGTGCGACAGCACAAGCTGGCTGCTGAGTAGGTTCAGGAGAACATCCTCTCCAGCCGGACACTGTCGACCTGCGCCAAGACAGCAGAAGGGATGCGGAGAGGGAACGTGTCCTCGGGGAATCGGGGATCTTAGAGTAACCAGGCCATTCTTTCCCAGAAGAAAAGGTTTGTTGTGAACCAAGGTCTTTGGAAATTGTTCACCTTTGGAAGAGGACACCCTGAGAGAGTTGAGAGTAACTGAGGAATAGCTGAGAGTCTCACTGGATACAGGATGCTTGGGGTTATGACGTCTGCTTTTTAGATGAGGAAACCATGGTTCAAAGATGGGAAGACGCTTTCTCAAGTGCCCACATCTGGCTCAGAAAGGTGAACATGGTTGGAGTGGAGGATGGTCAACC